ATATCATGGGGCGACATGGACTGGGAGAGAAAGGAATGAGAGTGATGATAGACTTGCCAATTTATGTGTATTCAAAAATTGGTTATAGGCGGCACATTATTCCCCCCTCACACAAACATATGCTCAAGCCTACATGGTTCTCACTGGATTAAACTACACGGAACCATATAGATCATATTTACATCGATAAAGAACAAGGAGAGGAGCTGTCGCAGATTTAGATCATCACATGGCTGTGGTAAATATGAAACTGAGGCTAAAGAAACACTGGACAACTGGAGGAACAGCATTAAAAAGGTTCAATACATCTTTCCTTCGAGATACTGATAAACTTAATGAATTCAAGTTCACTCTCAACAACAGGTTCCAAGCCTTACACGATCTCACAGACGAAGAAACCACTATAGGAGACTACTGGAGAGGGATCAAAGAAGTACTAACTACAATGTGTCAGGAGGTCTGGGTCACAAGAATTATCATCGTAACAAATGGATCCCTATCGAAACCCCAGACAAGATTCGAGAAAGGATGAGCAAGAAGAAAACAGCTATGAACAACGGTCGAACATGAACAGAGAAAATCAAGGCAGTGGATTAATACACAAAAGCAAACAAGCAAGTGAAGAGAAGCATATGATATGACAAGTAGAAACATGTGTAAGAGCTAGCAACAATAATGAAAATAGTTGTAACACAAAGAAATATCAGAAAGCCATATGACATAAAGAAGAATCTGGTGGGGGAATAGAGTAAACCAGAGAGACCGGTCAAAGACTAGGAAGGCAAGACAATCACTGAGATTCGTGAACAAGGAAACAAATGGTTATAGAATACTCCGAGGAAATCTTGAATAGACTAGCTTCAATGAATTCACCGGACATTGAAGCAGCACCTACAAATTTTCCTATATATCACATCAGCAAAGATCGACGTAATCAATATGACCATCAGAAAAATCAAGAATGAGAAAGCGGTAGGACCTGATGACATACGAGCTGAAGCTCTGAAGTCAGCAATGGAAGTCACTACAAATATAAATCTAGTTCATTTCAGAATATATGCAAGTAAGAGAAAGCACCGGCACACAAAAGACGATACATTACCAAGATATCAGAGAAAGGAGATCTGTGCAAGTGTGAGAACTACAGAGGCACCACATTACTATAAGTACCAGAAAACCGTTTCAACCGGATGAAAGATTCATTAGACGTTCAGCTTCGAGATCAACAGATCGGATTCCGTGAGGAAAAGTAGTGCACAGACCAAATCGTGACACTACGGATCATTGTTGAATAATCAATTGAACGGGACTAGTCGTTTTATATAAACCTCACTGACTATGAGAAAGCATTCGACAATGTGGATAGGAGAACAATATGGAAACTTTTTCGACAATATGGTGTGCCTAAGATCATCGTCATCGTACAGAATTCTTGCGATGTCTTACACAGTATAGTTATGCACGAGCACAATTCATGGATAGACTCCAGATGAACACCAGTGTCAGACAAGCAAAGTGATGGCAGTACTCCCATAATTTAGAATACCTCGAACTCAAAATAACAGTCAGACATCAAATTCGGGAAAGAGGAAGACCAAAGAACACAATATTCTAGGGACCGTAGACAGAAGTCAAAAAAGTGAATAGCACCTGGAAAAAAAGTAAATGACCAACAAATACAGATTTAGTTAAAGATTCCTTACTGGTGGTCTATGACCTAAAACGAGTGACAGATTTAGGTAAGAGATGAAATTTGTAGGAAGAAGTTTAGTCGATACCACTGGGTCAAAAACATGGTGACTTCGTTATGGGAAGCAGATATAGCAGGAAATTCCTCGTCCAGTATGTTCAGTATGGGATATTTGTCTTTCTTACTTGTGTATCTAAACGTTGTTCTACCTTCTTCAAACTTAAACAAACGGGCACAATAACTCCGTTTATTCCCACTTGTCTTTCGGGCATATTTATTGTGGGCTTCCACGTAAGGTGAATAATTCCTAGTATCATGGGTAAGACAGAATTAACTCCAGGCTTGACATTTGCTCCCAGTGACCTCATATACGTTAGACGTTGGTATGTGAAACGAACATGGATTTTAGTTCCTGATTACCAAAACAGTGTATCTGGGTCTGTGAAGTGGTGATGGGTGTTTTTAAATAGATTCTGCTATTCATCGACATCTATGAGGTCTTTTTCTTCTGGTTATAGTATTTTTCCAAGGTCGGTCTCAATCCACGTTGAAGTCATTTCACTTGGAATTACTAGCGCGGTAAGAGCTAATGGTGAGCATACTGCATCACAATCAGTGAGCGTCCAGGCAAATTTGAAAAAATTCATCTGCTCACCTTCCCTTTGACTCAACTACTAACATTTAACTGGATTACAGACCATATAGATTCAGTTTTGGTAGCTTGAAAGCCATTTTGATCAGGCACTTCTATTTATATTGCTTGACAGGATAACATTTACATATTCAAACTTCGTTAGCTGTCACGACAACCCCTTAAAACCGCTCACGAAAGACCTTGTAAGTCCTTAAGGTGTATAACAAAACACTCAACCTCTGACAAAACCGAAAAAAGAGAAAGCCATAAACAATAAACTGAAAGAGTGCTGTCTCAGAGTTGACTCCACGGTTACTCCTGGTGTCATCAATACTATCGATTCGGCTGTTCGATTGAGTGCTTACAGGCAGGGGCTTTAAAACGTAATGCCTAAACCTCATTAGTAGCAATTTTGTGCCATTATGGTTGTTGTGCTCGAAGACTTTCACTTTCCTGTTTCCCTTCAGTATTCCAAGTGAGGGCTTGCCACGTGATGTTGTTCGATTATTTCCACAATGTACGTCATATCCATCTCCAAAGTCTTTTCATAATTTCCTCGTCAGATGGAAACTAGTTTGTTCTCTCCAACGATAGGCTCTTGCTGATGGCATCCGGTCAATGGACAATGAATATCTTGCGTAGACAACTGGTGATAAATACTTGCACATATTTGATGATCGTTGTGGTATTTCTCCATGCTTCAGCTCTATACAGTATAACAGTCTTGGCATTCGTATTGAAGATTGTGAATTTCATGTTGGCTTGCAGACAGTTGTTTTGAGTTCCATATGTTCTTCAACTGTGGGAATGAAGCCCTTACTTTTCCAATCCTTGCTTTTACGTCTGAATCAGATCCTCCTTGTTTATCAATGATGCTTCTCTGGTACGTGAATACTTCCACCTGTTCCAGAGTTTTTCCATCAAGTATGAGTGGGTTGGTGATCTCTATGTTGTATTTGAGGATCTTGGTTTTTCCTTTGTGTTTTCTAAGGCTTCTGCCACGCTGTATGTCTTCATTTGCATCTATTGATGTGTATGCGATAGAAGAGCTAGGTCACCTGCGAAGTCTAAACCGTCCAGTTGAGTCCAATCTTTCCATTGTATTCCGTGATTCTCCTGAGATATGGAGGTCCTCATAATCTAGTCAACCACCAGAAGAAAGAGAAATGGTGAAAATTAGTAACCTTGTCTGACTTCGGTCCTCACTTCCCCTGAGTCTGTCAGCTGTCCTATCCTCCATGCACCACTTTGCAGTATAGTCCGTTGCATGGATTCCTGATCATACTGATAATCTTTTCAGGTACACCATATTGTCGAAGAAGTTTCCATATTGTTCTCTTATCCACATTGTCAAATGCTTTCTCATAGTCAGTGAGGTTTATATAAAATGACTAGTTCCATTAAATTGATTGTTCAATATTGATCCATAGTGTCACGATTTGGTTTATGCCTAACCGATCCTTATTGTTGATTATTTGATTGCGCAGATTGTAGTGCTAGAAACAAAACAAGCGAATTTGAGCAGAACAGCTAATATACGAAAGCAAGTGAATACAGAGATGGATTCAGTGTCGAGTTAATTAGTACGATTCACGCACATGTACATGGGAATTAGAATGATTTATCATATGATTTTTAAGCAACCAACAATAAGCCTAGATAGAGGGATATGTGCGTCCGCCGTAATATTTGATTAAGCCTGTGTGTTTACACATTCATGATATTAATGATAATACAATAAAATTGGCAAATTATTACTGTTTACGTAATATTGTCTGTTAAATATATTAGTTGAAGAACTTGACAAAATTACCACGATCACCACGGCTCAAATGGGCATCCAGATTTCTGTAATTGATCGTACGTCTTCTCCCTAGGCTCATCATTTGTCCTCCCGGCCATGTATTGGATACAGACTCTGTATGATTGACAACGCACTAATGTTGTTAGAGTCAAAAACCGAAATTTGAACAAACTTACCCACGTCCTTATCAGGTATTCGGTTATTGTGACTGGCTCGCAAATGAACCATAGATTTGTTAACCTTTCTTAGTGGACCTTTGGTAGGTCGTAGGAAACGATTTCCTCGATTGTATGTAGCATCAACAGGCTGTGAGCATTCCTTATTTGGGCGAAAAACTTCTCCGTTAAAACAATTTCATTATTGTTCCTCTTGGGTACCCCCTGGTAATTTTACACTGAAAGACGTTAGCTCCTTTTTTCCGGATCTTCTGATTTTGTAACAGTAATTGGATTGATTTTTCCTCTTGAGGTCTTGATTTCTTTGTGGGGTGTCAGAATGAGAGGGCTTTCGAGTTACACGCAAATCTTCGCACGTTGACTGCGTTGTTAACAAGTTATCGGGTGTCTCATTAGAACAGTCTTCAGAGGTCAATGAAGAGAACTGTTCTTGAAACATTCTTAAATTTTCTGGACACATGATAGGTGGAACTCAACCACACCGTTCCATGGAGAAGACTCTCCCATCAACCGAACGAATATCCCTCGTAATAAATAATTCTCTAATTTCTTCAAAAATGTTTATTGTTTGAAACTTTGCTAGGCAGAATTAGTAAACTACCTGCCTCTTGAGTCTTCATTTTAATGTTGGACGAGCGTTTGTGGCCAGGGAAAAGGGTAGAGACTTAGAAGTGATTTGTGATCTATTCCCCTCCTGAAAATTAAGAGTGAACAAATCAGTTAATTGAACTGATCGTGGCGCAACACCCAGAGTTATAATCATTAGTATTTTTAGGTGTGCAAGTAACGGAATTGTATATCAGTTATCTTATCACCATGCTGCTCAATTCAAACCCATAACCTAAAGAATTTTCAGCCCATTACTTTTAGCCTAGTGAAGTATGTAATTTGACGACCTTGGTGAACGCGAATTTTCGGTCACGACCGGTACCTCATGGAATCCCGAATTAAGAAGACGTGCTATGAGTTAAAGGACCATGGAGTGCTCCACCACCCTGGTGTAGAAGATCGTTGGAGCCTAAGTGTTTTTAAGAAAAAATTCCACGTGGAAATTATTCGTCATGGAGAGGAGTCTGATACGATGGAATTCGATATGATTAATTTGGATTGCTCCTTCGCTAATGCAGTTCGGCGAATTTTGGTCTCTGAAGTTCCTTCTCTCTCAATAGAAAGGGTTTATGTTTCTCAGAACACGAGTATTATGCCGGATGAGGTTATGTGTCATCGCCTTGGCTTAATCCCACTCGCTGTTGATCCCAAATATTTTTTGTTCCCTACAAGAAAGCCCCCTGCTTCCGACGAATTATCAGGGTTTGACCCTAAAGAACACCTAGTATATGATTTGTGCGTTGGTTTTACACATTCTAGCAAAGATTCCCATAATAAACCTGAGAAAGATAAGGATGACTCCTTACCTGTGGCTCAGTATTTACCAGTGTACAGGTTGGTTGGTCTTTATATTACCCTCACAGTTACGTTAGTTTCTGGTGCACAAAAAGATTGTTTTTAAATGCTTTGTTATAAAGTTTCTGGCCTCCAAATTAATTTATTGCTGATCCCTATTTGGATAATTTAAAAAATAGCAAGTTTTCGTTGTTCATGCTTAAACAGTGATCATCATCTCTTGTATTAGGCTTTTAAGTGATTGATCAGTATTTGTGTACCACATTTGCGATATTTTGTCTTTTGACAAGTTTTATTCACCATAGTTCGTCGAAAATCATATCTTCAAATAAATTCCGGTCATCCCCGCTGTTTTCTCAACAAACTAAACTTGTGTAGTTGTGTTACTCGTATTCTCGGTGACTTGTTCTCAATCAACGTGATCGCTTTTATCATTAGTACTCAGAAATTAGTTCATTCCATTATATATGTTCATCCTACTTTTTCTCCTCTACTTTCTAATGGTTGTCCTCATCCCTACACATTGACTCTTCAATTTGCTCAAGTACAATTTGTTGTCTAATTTGATGTTAAATATGCTCTACATACATAACAGAAGTAATGATAATGCTGGATTTCTGATAATCCTAAGTTATATTTTACAAGTAATCTACGTACTAGCGTGAAATTAGGAAGGATGGAGGACGTTTGCTTTTTCTGTCTTATCAGGGGCCATCCAACTTTCGATGATCGACTAAATGCCCTAGAAAATACAATTTACAACTTTATTGAAGCAGTTGCGGATTCGTTTGAATCTTAGCGTCCTATTCCCCCACACTAGGACTGCTTATGTTTCAGTGGACGTGACTGAACTGTTAGAAAAACGTCCCAGAGAAATTTATTATAAACTTGAAGTATTTCAGGTAGCACAGGATCAGAACACAATTGCCTCCTTTTGTGCCAGGCCAGTAATATGGTTATGTAAAGCCTCTCAATCTTTTCATTAATTTTAGAAGCAGTTATGCTAGAGGATATTTTGTTGGTAGTGTAAGCTAAAACGGTCGTACTTTGGTGATTAAATCAGTCGTCGTATATTAAGACCTGAAATAGCGTTCCACCCCTTCTTTACATTAACGGGACGCTGGTTTGCTAAGAACGATCAATGAACGATTCTATCGCGTATACGATTCACTCGTTCTACACTGAATACCAGGTCAGCAATTATTCTACCACGCGTCAACAACTCAAATCAAAAACACGTAGTTCTTCTGACTAACATGTGTATTAATCAATCCAACAGATTCAAAGAATGGGAAAATGGCACCAGATACCTGTCATACTATCTACCAATCTATCTAAAAATAATAACCAATTGCTGTCTACTTTTGTCTATGCAACAGAACCCAAGGCGACTCATCCCAGTTTAAAACTCATTTGACTGTTAGGTTAACTTTGTACACTTAAGTTCACAGCGCTTTGACATACATAATTTACGAGTTTGGGATTTTCAAAGGTTTTCCATATTTGTTCATCATTGTCCCTTAACAACTATCCGAATTCGGGAACAACAGCATATTGGCAGTGTTAAAGTTGAACAGCATACTTGCGAAATCATTATTCAGTCATTGATGTCATTTCGAAATACTGGCTAAAGTTTATTTATTTATTTTTGCTCCTCATGGTTTTCATTATCAAACGCTGCTCAATATAACAGCAGGAGAAGTTCACTGTATGGCTCCACAAAATGAAGAATAGTTGTGTTAGTATTTTTCGGCTCAATACGGCTTTTTTCTAGAGATTGCAATATCCATGGACTGAAGGTGTTGTCAAATAAATCCCAAAATAAGAGTTTTTAGTGATTATGCTGTAGCTTTTTGTTCTTTCCATAAATAGTAATGCGTACCTTTGAAATACACGGGATATATTTTTGTTATTTTTACTTATAGACGATTTTCCTCCTCATCTCTCAGAAATACCATATTCACATGATTCATTCCCTGTTGCCTCATTGTATCGTAGTAGTGATATGAAATCCCAGGATATTTTGTGTTTTTAAAGTGGTTCATTCCTGCTACTTCTTTGGTCATATTCCCTAAAATAGTTAACTATCTGCTATTTCACCTGCCTGAAGAGTCACATTTGCGATGGTGATAGTATGTTAAAACACATCGCTACGAAGTGCTTGGCTAATCATAAAATGTGGTTATTACATAATGAATACACTAAGAGGTTGATATTCTGGTAATCATTACTACATTCGGCGCTTCATTTCTATGTAATAACACGTAGTACTTATATTGCCTGTAAAATTTTCGTACGAGAAACAGATAAATCCGCAATTTATAAAAAAACTATTAATATTCGAAACAAAGATATTAATGGTGGCATCAGTTTATGAGTTTTACAAACGGCCTGAGCCTTATAGTTAGATGTGAACCACGTGGTTGGGGTCCACGCGGCCATCGTAACCAGTGGTCAGAGACTTTAAATAACGCGGCTCAGCATAATTCTCAGTGACACAAATGCATTCACTCTTTACTTTTCCTTAAGTTCTGAGCTCCGTTACCTTGTACATTCTTTTCTTTCGACATCTAATCTTTTATACTAATAGTACTACTGTTAGTTTTACTACTCCTACTACTTTTGGATTTGGTTTGATAATTTTACTCCTCTTTGCTAATGTGATGTGGCGACTTGAACTGATACATGTGCCAGGCTCTAATTTACCTATTACTGGTTGAGACAAAGTTGAGATAAAAACACTGAAGTAGGTTATGAATACAGACTACTGATCCGATTCGTGCTTTAGAAGTGACGATGTCATAATATATCACCTAGCATGAAAATCCACTAATATAAGTATCATATCTCTACTTGCGTCACACTAAAACTAATCGAGTACTAGTTTATGATAAGTCTTGCTAATTGAACGCTATTCTTGTAACCACCAAGCTAAATCTACACAGCAACTTGGACACGAGAGAAAAGGCGCAAAATATGCGAAAAACGCTTTACTCCAAAGGTTCATTCCTGTACTGAAAATATAAAGTTTTTATAGTATTTTGGGAGTCCTTGGGTTTTCCCGAAAATTCTGGAATGCTACTAAACATTATAGCGGTATAGTAATCAGCTAATCAAAAACTCTACATGTGACTTTTCACTTTCGTGATGTTTTTTTTGGCAAAACCTCTTGTGAATGCTGATTGGATAAAAGGCTTCTCAGTATTTCCTGAGCCTTTCTTATCTTTTGCGAGAAGTTTTCTGGATTACCCCAACAGTTTAGCGCTAAGTAAAAACTTAACAGGTTTTGAAATATTTGGTGTTTGTTGCACACAAAATGTTGCTCCAAAACTATCTTGCATTCACACTCAATATAAAAGTCAGATAATAAAACAGTTCAAATTATCGCTAATATCATGTGTTGAATTCTGTATATCCACCGTAATGATAAATGGAATCTTTTCATGTTCTCCACATCCACCTACCACGTAGCACTAGTAAAATATTGGACTTCAAAAGAAACCACTCTATCAACACTATAGTGGGTAAGAGAGAACTAACCTGTTCCATAATTTGATTACTGCTTTAGGCCAAAGCATAAAGTTGGTTACTAGTGAATAACCAGCATAAAAAATATGCACTTCACAAAAGCCTTATTTCAAACACTTTGATTTTTAATAGTTCGGATCTCAAGTGGATTCCACTAGCCGGTCAGGAGGATCATTTTAATATCAATAATCCTCCTATACCAGTATCATCGACAATACTTATCAATAAATTAGCCCTTGGTGATGAAATCGAAGCTCGGTGTGTTGCAGTGAAAGGAATTGGTCGAGATCATGCTAAATTTTCACCAGTCGCAGCAGCTTACTATAAATTTCACCCAATCATCAAACTTCTTCGTACAATTGAAGGGGAACAGGCAATTAAGTTACAAAAAAGTTTTGCATCTGGTGTGATTGGAGTAAGTATTTACCTTAAGTGATTTATCTTACCAGTCTTCTTATTCGATATTTATCAACTAGATATGATCGATAAGGCTAGTGTCATAGCTTAGTATATAAACATGTGGACAGTTACCTGATAAAACATAAGTGTCCATGTTTTAGAGTGCTATGAAGGAGAGACCAATGGATTACCTATCAATCTCAATACCATTGGTTCCTACTTGTTTTTTGTTGGATATCAAATAACTAGATTCTCGGTATACGTTATCTAAGCTATCCGTTTATTTTCTTGGGCCAATCTAGAATAATGTTATGCCTTGATTGTTATTGACGGTCACTGTCAAAAACAATTTAAAACATACTACTATGATCTACTGTCTTGCATAGCCTCATATCTTCAATTCAGTCACAAGATGGATGATTTTTTTGTGATGTTATAGTCAAGTAGTGATTGATTGTTAGACAGATAAAGGATTCATTTTTTAAGCGTCGCTTAATTTATTTTAAGGGGCTGATTAGCATCAATGCCTAACATACAGCATGCCTAACTAAAACCCCAGTATTAGCATGCAGTTAAAATTTTTTACTGAACTTTATTTATACTCATCTGTTTGGTTCTGCTACTATGTAATTGTTGAAATAATTTCAGATATTGTATTTTCTGACCATATAGATAATTTAAAAAGCCTTACTAGTCTTTTGCAAAATCTCTTAGTTATTAAGACTAAAAAGCAAATAAAAATTATTTACGAGCATTTTACTCAAAGCTTTATTCCAAGGTCTTATGGGCGCATAATCGAATCATTGGGTGATCGATGCCTTTCTATGTGTAAAGTGCACTCCCTACCCAATGATACGTTTTATTTTTCACTATGATGCTTACTTTGGCAAAATCACTCCATTTTAAAGTATAAAGACTATTTCACAAGTAAAATGAAGTATTGCCCAGTTCTATATCTCAATATAAAGTGATTGAATTTAAAGGTGAAATCCAGCAAAAAGTTACACCTACTAGCTATATTTTACATTTCTTTTTATCTTAGATAAACTCGAAAACTGGTCAAGCCTTTGTCGATAATGCTCGTTTAGATAATGGTTCTCGAGAGCATATGCGTCATCCTGAATTCCGTGACGATGTTATTTTCGTTGGGATGGATTCATCACATTGTATTTTCACTGTTGAAACGATAGCTCCTGGTAGCCGCCCTCCATCATCATTAGTCCGCTGTGCTTTAGGTGTTATGATTAGTAAATGTTCACATTATATGGCTGTTACAGAAACACCTGGTTTTGGAGATCACGTTGAGGAGTGTAAACCACTCATTGATATACCTAAAAATAACACCGAAGGTCACACAGCTGAAAAGAATCTAGTAAGTTGTAGTATTCCCTTTCGTAATTTTTTTTATTGGAAATAACGAAATTTGGCATACCTCAAGATCCAAAAAAGGAATATTTATTATCGTTAATTATTGTACCAGGTGTACAGTGTTTACTTATCCATTAAGTGGTACAGATTGCGACTTATTTGTGTTGAGTATATAAGTGTAAGATGTATTACTAGCTAACTATTAATTAGCAGTATATTTCGCTTCTAGTTTATCAATAAAATCTACCTATCTATAAGTACAATGTAAGCACTGAGCTAAGCAATATGCTTTTATGTTCCATTGTAAGATGATTAAGAATATTTGTAGCTCTCGATTAGGATTTCGAAGGTGTTTTACCCTATAAGTGAGGTCTTCGTTGTCCTTCTAGACAGCATCATCAGCGGATACTTTAAAAAGGTGGTGAGCTGAAAGTGGATAGAACACACATTGAGGAAAGCACCCGACTGCATCACAAGGCAGGCCCTCACATGGAATCCCGAATTCCAAAGGAAAAGAGGAAGACCAAATAACGCATTCACGCCGAGAAATGCAGACAGATATGAGAAAAATGAACAAAAATAGGATAGAACTAGAAAGGAAGGCCGAGGACAGAGTGGGTTGGAGAATGCTGGTCGGTTGCCTATGCTCCATTGGGAGTAACAGGCGTAAGTAAGTAATGACAAACTAACAGGTAGATCTGACTGCCTACAACAGAAAAATCTGTTTGCCATAATTTGCATTTAATTCGATTTATGAATTTATCAAAAGGAAATATCTATTGAAAAAAAGCAAAATGACGATATATTTATTTTCAATAGACTTAATTAGTATAAGTATGAACTAAGTGATAGGTAATCAGCAAATATCAGTCGAAATTGTAGATTGCTCTCCTAAATTATGATGAACAGGTAAGTAAGTAAGCAGTCCTAGGATTAAAGCAAATAAAACTATTATCACACCCATAGAATAGAAGTAAATATATTAAAATAGATTGTTTAGAAAGTTCTTGAAATCACAAAGCCGACCTTAGTTTGACAACTATTAAAAAGTAAGAAACACTGGATATCTGTTTCATCCTAGAACGAGACTTTTCAACAGTGCACATCAAGGATCCCACATGGGGTAGTCTAACTCGGGACCTTCATGTTTCGTGATCAGCCCTTGGATTATTAAGCTAAAACCCGAAAGCTTACATTGTTTCACTTCAATCAACTTGCGATACTGTGCAACAAGTAACTCCCACCACAGATGCAACGCGTTTGAACTCCACTGGTCACAGCTGGTTATGGAAGTGTCTTATTTGTTAAGGAGTTCAACATGAACACGCTAAGTATGAGATAAGAGCAGTTGTATAAATTCCTTCCAAATATGAGCGATCCGATCTTATGCAAAGGATGGCAGTATTTTCAATTCTACATGGTAGATGTATACTTAAATTATCCGAAAAGTTGGATGATACTGAATAACTTAAAAAGGTCTTGTTTAGTTCAATTTAATGTTCAGTATCAATTAGACTAACAAATCCCGACCGTTGTGGCTACCTTGACGTGGTGGTTGGGCTTGCCTATCGTGATGGAGCAATTGAGCAATGCTGGCTAGAACAATCGTTCCTCGAGGTCCTACCATGCCAGACAGGTCGGTTGAAGAGCGGTAAGACTAAAAGCAGCAATCCCAAGGTCCGAAGGCGAAGTCGTACTGCTGACTGTACAGAGGTGTAACGGCAGTAAGGTGTTTCCTTCAGACAACCAGCATGACAGCGATGCTGCCTTCCCACAAGGAGGGGTGGGGTTAGAAAAGGTCGACCCTAAAAATGCACACCTCGCATTATCCCACGGATTTCCGTCTCCGGCGGTAAGGTCCTTTGAAGAACGGAGCTAACACATCAAAAATCCCCCACAAAAAGGCCGTGCGTGACCGACCTCAAGCAGTTGTCTATTGGGCACTGCGGTCACGCTCCCAGGTTGTTAAGACCAACACTAATCCGACTTCTTTTTTCAGGTCCCTCAAGAAATACCCTTCCACGGTGTGGGCAGCCGGAAAGTGATATTCGCCCTCATACTCGTAACAGCACACGAGACCAAGTTGGTCACTTTCAAATCATTCCTACTCCTAATAACTCTCTTATCTCCATGACTGACCCTTCCCACGTCCTTTTATCACCTCGCACCGCTAGGTCAAACGATTCAAGTACACGGAACGTTATTCCTGGTCTCCTGAAACCACGCTGTAAACTACATATAGGAACTTTTAATGTCCGAACATTGTGCCAAATAGGACAACAGGCTTCCTTAGCTAGGACTCTAGAATCTTACACCATCGATGTGTGCTGCATCTCCGAAACGCGCATACAAGATTCGAGTAGTGTCATTCATTTGACCTCACCTAATCAAAATAAAGAACCATCTTGATACACGCTTCGTGTATCTGGAAGCCCTGATGCTGCTTCCCGTGGCCTCGCTGGAGTAGGTATAGCATTAAGTCCTAGGGCAGAACTAGCTCTTTTAGACTGGATCCCAGTAGACAGTCGTCTATGCGCTGTCCGACTAAACGAATCAGTAAGGACTCAGAAAGATAGGGAAACTCGTCGTTGCCTCTTCGTTGTCTCTGCCTACTCTCCCACTGACTGCAGCTCAAACGATATAAAAGATGAGTTTTATAGGAAACTTTCTGACCTTCTCCGAAAAGCTAGACGTTCTGATGTAGTAATAGTGGCTGGTGACTTTAATGCTCAAGTAGGTAAACTAAGTGAAAGACACCTGGGTGGATCTTATGGTGTCATGGCTAAAAGGACAGATAATGGCGACCGTCTGTTGCAGCTGTGCTCAGATAACCGCCTATTTCTTGCAAATACTAACTTTAAGCATAAGGAAAAACATCTTTTGACATGGCGACCCCCGAATTCGTCCCAACGTTGGGCCCAATTAGATCACATCGCTATCAGCCACCGATGGAGGGGCTCGATAGAAGACTGTCACTCATTCTGGAGCACATGTTTAGACTCAGATCATGCTCTAGTGCGAGCATGTGTCTGTCTGCGTCTTACTGGATGTAGGAATGACACTGCAGGGAAGCCTCTAAGGGTTCTACTTAATGATAAGCAAGCTAAGAATATATTTCAGGCACAACTGGAAAAACAGTTAGACAGACATGTAAGTCGTGCCCACCACGAAGCAGCGTGGAATGACATCCGTAAAGCTGTGGAAACAGCAGTGATTTCCGCTAGTAAGGTAAGCCATAAGGTCAAGGAGAAACAATGGATCTCAGCAGCATCTACCACACTGATAGATGCTCGAAAACTCATCCCACCTGGCTCTGAGCATAACGAAGAGCGGAGTCAACTTAAGCGCAAGCTTATAAGAAGCCTACGTAATGATCGTGAACAGTAGTGGGTAGCGAAAGCAAGAGAGATGGAAAAGGCAGCGGCAATAGGTAACAGTAGGCAGCTATTCAGACTCGTTAAAGAAACCGGTATTAGGAACCCGAATATCAGTGAAGCCTTCTCAGATAAAGATGGGCATATCATTCATTCTCAATCCAGGAGATTGGATCTATGGGCAGAACACTTTAGGGATCAGTTCAACTGGCCTTCAGCCACACTTCAGTTACCCACGATCCCCAGTCGTCCTGAATGGCAAATTGATGTAAGTCCTCCAACTCTCTACGAGGTTGAAAAAGCTATAGGTAATCTAAAGCGAGGGAGAGCCGCAGGCCCTGACGGGCTTACCCCTGAGATTCTTAAGGATGGTGGTCCAGTACTAGCAACGAGATTGACTTAGGTTTTAGGTAGAATCTGGGAACTGGACGTAATTCCATCTAACTGGTCCCAATCACTGATTGTGCCAGTCTATAAGAAAGGACAAAAGTCCTCCTGTGACAATCACAGAGGAATCAGTTTGACTAATATAGTGTCTAAAATATTAGCTTCAATAATACTTAGGCGCCTAACCAAAGCTCGTGAAGAGCAAACTAGATAAAACCAGTCTGGTTTTCGACCTGGACGTGGTTGCATAGACCAGATATTCACCCTACGTCAGGTTCTAGAACATAGACACAAATTCAGACGTCCCACAATAGTAGTATTTCTTGACCTTAAGGCGGCATTTGACTCCGTTGATCGTGAGGTTTTATGGCAATGTTTGTCACTGAAAGGAGTACCAAAGAAGTACATTAACCTAATAAAGGCTCTCTACTCGAACACAACTGGTCGAGTTAGAGCCTATGGCGAACTGTAATCAGAACTGATTACCACAAGTTGCGTTCGTCAGGGCTGTCCACTCTCCCCATTCTTGTTTAATTTTGTCGTTGACATGCTTTTTGAGATATCACTTTCATCATCTCAATCTCCTGGAGTTGAACTTTTACCAGGAGGCTCACTTGTTGACTTAGAATACGTCGACGGTGAAGACGCTGACAAAATGCAGAGTCTTCTGACCACTATAAGCAACAATGCAGGCATGTTCGGGATGCGATTCTCTCCCTCGAAGTGCAAAATGTTACTTCAGGATTGGGTTGCAGCGACACCTGAACTAATGATAGGGAGTGAAGTAGTAGAGCGTGTTGACAGCTTCACTTATCTTGGGAGTCTCATCAGCCCTTCTGGTCTGGTGTGTGACGAAATCTCAGCACGGATACAGAAGGCTCGTCTAGCTTTCTCCAACTTGCGCCATTTATGGCGTAGGTGAGATATCCGTCTGGCAACAAAAGGACGGGTTTAATGTGCAGCAGTTCGTTCCGTCTTACTTTATGGCAGTGAAACATGGCCGATAAGAGTAGAGGATATTCGTAGGCTACTAGTATTCGATCATAGGTGTCTTCGACGCATTGCTCGTATATCCTGGGACCACCGGATAAGTAATGCAGATGTTAGGAAACGGGTACTAGGTAAGGATGGCAAATCGATCGATGAAGTAGTGAAACTTCATCAGTTGAGATGGCTGGGACATGTGTTACGAATGTCCAACCACCGACTGCCCCGACGTGCAATGCTTTATGGTGTAGGAGTAGGTTGGAAGAAAGATAGGGGCGACCAGACCAAAACATGGCATAAATCGATGAAGTCGCTGACAAGTGGACTGGGACGTGTTGGTAGGTGTAGACTACCTGGTTGGGATCCGCGAGATGATAGCAACCGATGGTTAGATACCTTGACTGACATGGCTCAAAATCGTTTGCAATGTCTAAGGTGCATCCACTCTTTGTGTTCTACCAAATTATAATCTGAATTCTTCATGTCTTTATCTTTTTCTCTTTCCAAATTTATTTCACTGTATTATACTCCTTCAATGACATCTTCAAACCCTTATCTTTCACACAATACTTATACTCTTACTACTACTACTAGTACTACTACTACCACTACTACTACTACTACTACTACTACTACTACTACTACTACTACTATCAATATGGGATTTTAATCGACAACTTCATCTCTGTACTAATGTGGCATGGCAACTCGAACTGATGTATGTACGTACGAAGTTCTACGTTGTAACTGACTTACTGACTGAGACTAACAAGTATAGAGCCCTTGATAACCATCAAAATATTCATGTAAACTGTTGGAATGATTTTAACTTTAATAACTCATCAATTTTCTTACGTATATTTTTGCTGTCAAGCATAAGTTTCTTCCTGTGCTCGTAGTTTTATTAGTTCATTTGTTCGTTAAAAGTGGTTTTATTCCAAATCTATCCCTGATAACATTTGTATCCGTTCCCATATTATCGATAAAAATTTAACCGTTTTAAAATTATGCATTCTTAATTGGTAACAGTATGAGTAAACGAATAGATGAAGCTTTTCCCAATTTTGTGCAAATGTTGTTTACTTTTCTAATACTACTGGCGACTAAATTTCACATTTTATAATGTTCTGATAGCATGTTTTAATCTAATTATTGTTTGAAAACTAACCATTGATTTATTTAAAATTACAGTTATTTCCTAAAGGTAATCGTAGTCATTTGAATGGACGTGAAGTTGGGCTTGAAGTAGTGCATATCTCACAAGACAAATCACGTGCAACATTTACTTTCTTTGGAGAAGATCATACATTAGGTTTAGCGCTTAGATATTGCATTCTACGAGAGTAAGTCTCCTGGTATACTCATCATGTTTTATCATTTGTATTGTTTTGCTAGTATATGTATTTAATTTTTATAATACAACTATAGGCTGTTCTATGAGTATTTTACTCATATTGGTGTTGTTAATCATTGTTATTAGAAGTTCTTGCCACGTATGTGTTTCAGTCCAAGCTGCTACACCTTACATCAGCAAAGAAGAGAAAATCATATATACTATAACGGAAATCTAAATGTGAGAAATCCACTGCATGAGGAACAAATAAAACTAAAGAATGGAAAGTCAAAAATAATACTCAGTATTTAGAAGAAGATATAATGTTAATACAACCATGTTATGGTGTATGCTACTTATTCTGACAGATATAAGTAGTATGTAGAAGCAATAGAAAGTGGAATGCCTGTCATCAGAAGATTGGAGAGAACAGGATGGGAATCAAAAAGCAATTGTAATAATAGCAGAGTTGGAAGAATCATGAAACATTTAAAGGACGACTGAAGATGTGCGAATAATGTATTTAATGTATGGTTTTTCTATATTTTACGAAGATACTGTAATTTTGCATGAAGAAATAAATTGGTTTTCCCCACCCTAGTTTCCGTTTGCGACAACGCCATTACAACCAATTTTAAGCCATGCCACCTGTCTGCGAACATAAATCATGACAATTTCACATGTCTCCAATCAATAAGTCTACACCTGCTTGCTGACGTATTTCAGTCTAAATAACCAGGTTTAGATCTTGTGGTAGATTATTCTGTAGTCGTGAGCTAGGGGTATTCAGAAGAGATATGCTCATGAAATAATGAATGGTTTTGATAAAGAATCTGCTCCAAGTGTTCGTATTTTTTATGGAGTACATGTAAATCAAGATAATAACTGTATATTTGAGTAATGTGTAAATCTACATTACTTCTTCATAAACTGATTTCTGTTCAAAAACAACTGAACTTTCAATCAATAATAAACTACTTTTATACTCTGTTAGCATGCTGCGTTACTACCGTTTTTATTACCAAACTATTCGGTTGATCAAAAATGCAATATTAGTTGGTAAAGACAGGGCTCTCGAAATTAAGAGTTTAATTGTGACTCCCTCCCTCAGTAGGTCAATCTTAACGCCCTGGTCGCAGAACCTGAAGATCATGTAGTTAATTTCATAAATCATGAATATTATTTACTCCTAGTATTCACTGATTCTTCGAATTGTGGAATATCTGTTTGATTATCAGATCCAGTTTATGATACTGTATGTTTAATTGAGTTAATCATAAAGAAACCAAATAGTACAAGCTGTAAGAATCCATATCGTCAAACTTCGTCTGTGATGGTCAACAGTAGCATGTTTATGTGCTATCAGGTTTCTAGGCTCTGTTTTATGGATGATGAACAAACTTTAAATCATTAGATAACATTTTGACAGATTTTAGTCGTCATTCGAATAGTGCGATGCCTTTTTTATCCGTCTTCTTTGCACAACTTTTTTTTATTTGTATTTCTTTTATGATGTCTTTTTAAGTTTCAGTTATATTACACAGTTTAATATGTTTCACTCTCCTTCCATTACAGTGAGTCAGTTAGCTTTTGCGGTTATTGTGTACCCCATCCTTTAGAAGATATGATTAATTTTGACATTCAAATGAAAAGTAAGTTATTTTCAAAACTTGACTTTATTGAACAATGTATGGAATAAGCATATATTTCAAATTTTGTAGAAAACTATTTTCCCTTTAAGTGAATAGTATGTGATCTTTTCTGTTGTCAAATAAGAATATCACGAAAGATTTCCAGGTGAGAAGAACAAGTCAACCAATGAGATTGTGAATGTGTATACGAACTAAGATAACTGAATAACACCACCCAGTCATTGTCTATTTTGATACACAATGACGATGTGAGTAAGAATGTGTTGAGAATAAGTTGGAAAAAAGTCATTCTAAGGTATGAATTTAGTGTTTAAGATTACTAACTATTAGTTCTAGTTGTATGTGAATGTGTAACTATGTTCCATATGATTTTGGGAGTTAATAGCTGGAAATCTCCAGGTGATGTAGTGATGTGTAGTAGTAGGTCAAATTATTTCTTACCTTTTAATTCTTGCCCATCTTATTACTTTTTATTAATTTTCCCGTCTCCACTTATGTCATTTCTTTATACCCATTCCATCCGTATTAATAATTTTTTAAATGTATTTTACTACATGGTTAGGATATATTTACCTAACTAAACATTGTAGTGTAAATCAAATTAACGCCCAGTTGTACAGTCATATTTACTTCTAACCATCTAGCCATTAATCTTGAAGTATCAAAACTTAACATTTGCTTCATCAAACACCTGAACCGATCTGAGTTAGATTGAGGACGAAACGATCGTTGAGTGTTTCCGGGTTTTCAATGAAACTCAACAATCTCCACAACCTTATACTTACAACTAACGTTTATATATACTACATTGCACTTGACCTGTGTTCTATCTTATTTGTTTATCTAGTTAAATGAATAAATGTCGGTACAAAGGGGCACCGAAATATATATGCGCCATACAATATAGTTATCATTTAATTTTTGTATGGGCTGTAATATTCTCAGTGTGCCTAAACCGAAACAGGTGGTTTTCCTGGGGGGCACTCCTTGGAAACATTAAATATGATTCCATCTTAGCCTGTAACCAACAGTAGTTTCATACTCCATTTGTTCCTTCAGGATCCTAGAGCCCATATGCACCATTGGTTTGGAACCAGGGTGTGTGTACGTGTACAAGATTTTGACTTAGTGGTTATGTGTTCGAATCCCCTACATCGTTTTTATATACGTGATATCTAGTAGCACTAATACTTAATATTCTTAGTGGGATTGAATTCGAATACGGTATCTATTGGTTGACGGTCAAGTACCCAAACTCATATAATCAATTTTTAAACATAACATAGCATTTAATCATCAAATAAATGGAAATCTTTATGTTTTCTAAACACTTCAGAAGGTTCAGCTATCGATGCTCTACGAAATGGTCTCCATTGTCTACGGGATTGTTTTCAGCATATGAAGCATACATTTATATCAGCAATGAAAATTTCAAGAAGTACTAGAAAATCATCATAATGAACTGTTTTTCTTTTTTCAATTGTATATTTTCGCTTCGATTTTGTTAGACCATTATTTATGCTATTACAAAAACAGAAACTACAAAAAAACAATCCAAAAGTTGAAAAAATAACACTAATAATGATAAATTAAAAGTTCAATATAATTTTTCTAACTCAACTAGCTTAAACAAATTTTTACTAGAAAAGGAGTCAAAACTACTCTGAACTGTGCGTATAAAAAAGCACAAACTGTCTGACGATACTGTGTCTTCCAACAGACTATAACTGTTTTGTGATTGTTAAAGTTCATTGCTTGATATAAAGAATCCGTTTGTAAATGACATAACTAGGTGCTTTTAGATGGGAGAGAATATGTCCCCTTTTATAGACATTTAGCTCATCCGTTATTAAATATTCTTTGAGTAGTTGCAATACAATTACTCTACTCAGAAGGCACACATACATTTATGGCAAGTAAGAGGGACACACCAGTAAATCTAGGCCTATTCGACACTAAGAATAAATTCGCATATTATTACAATACCTTTCACTTTAATTGCAGGACAGAGAATAGACGGGTAGAATACTTCGAGGAAATCTTGAATAAACTGGCTCCAATGAATTTACCGGACATCGAAGCAGCATATACAAACCATTCCATAGATGTCGCTCCACCAACGATCGAAGTAATCAGGATGGCCATCAGAAAAAGCAAGAATGGGAGAGCGCCAGGACCTGGCAGTATACCAGCTGGAGCACTGAACTCAAACATAGAATTAACTGCAATGATGTTTCGCGTTTGATTCAGGAAGATTTGGGAAGAAAAACAAGTGCCACCGTCGGACTAGAAAAAACACCTCATCAGGATACTGAAGAAAGGGGGTGTGAGTAAATGTGAGAACTACAGAGGCGTCACATTACTATAATTACCAGAAGACGTTTTCAACAAAGCGTTACTGAGCCGGATGAAAAGCTCAATGGATGTCCAGCTTCGAGATCAACAGATCGGATTCCGTAAGGAAGAGTAGTGCACAAACCAAATCTTGACACTACGGATCATTGTTGAACAATCAGTTGAATAGAACTAGTCATTTTATATAAACCTCACTGACTATGAGAAAGCATTTGACAATGTGGATAAGAGAACAATATAGAAACTTCTTCGACAATATGGTGTATTTGAAAAGATTATCAATGTCATCAGAAATCCATACGACGAACTACACTGCAAAGTGGTGCATGGAGGATAGGACAGCTGACAGACTCCGTGGAGGTGAGGATCGAAGTCAGACAAGGTTACTAACTTTCACCCTTTCTCTTTCCTGTGGTGGTTGACTAGATTATGAGGACCTCCATATCTGAGGAGACTCACGGAATACAATGGACAACTTGGATTCAGCTGGACGGTTTAGACTTTGCAGTTGATCTAGCTCTTCTATCGCATACACACCAACGCATGAAAATGAAGACAGACAGCGTGGCAGAAGCCTTAGAATACACAAGGAAAAAACCAGGATCCCCAAATACAACACAGAGGACACCAAGCCAATTGATATGGTTTGCTGATTGGACGCTATACTCGGATCCTAAGCTATTATTACAACCCTCAAGCTAGAACTAAACAGCGCCTTGAACATGAGAGAAAAGGCGCAAAATATGCACTTTACTTCAAAGGTTCATTTCTGTACAAAAATATAGGGTTTTTATAGTATCTTAGATGTCCTTGAGTTTTCCTGAAAATTCTAGAATACTACTAAACATAGTAGCATTGTAGTAATCAACCGATCAGAAACTCTACAGTTTGACTTTTCATTTTTGTTATGTTTCTAGCAGAAATTCTAGTTAAACGCTGGTTGAATAAAATGCTGCTTAATGTTTCGTGAGCTTGTCATATCTATTGCGAAAAGTATTCAGGATCGCCCCAACATTAATCACACTTAATGGAGAAACTCTGGAACAGGTGGAGGTATTCACGTACTTGGGAACTATCATTGATAAACAAGGAGGATCCGATTCAGACGCAAAAGCGAGGATCGGTAAAGTGAGGGCCGCATTCCCACAGTTGAAGAACATATGGAACTCAAAACAACTGTCTGCGAACCAACATGAAATTCACAATCTTCAATACGAACGCCAAGACTGTTATACTGTATGGAGCTGAAACATGGAGAAATACCACAACGATCATCATATATGTGCAAGTATTTATCACCAGTTGTCTATGCAAGATATTCAATGTCCATTGACCGGATATCATCAGCAAGAGCCTATCGTTGGATAGAACAAACTAGTTTCCATCTGACGAGGAAATTATGAAAAGTCTTTGGAGATGGATATGACGTACATTGTGGAAATAATCGAACAACATCACGTGACAAGCCCTCACTTGTAGTATTGAAGAAAAACGGAAACTGGAATTCCGAAGAACACACAGCATGGAGAATTGGAAGCAGATATGAAATGGATAAATAGGAAGTGGAAATAACTAGAAAGGCTTGTCCAGGAAAGGGTTGGATGGGGAGTGCTAGTGAGCAGCCTATGCTCTTCCACGAGGAGTAACAGGGCGTAAGTATGTAGTCCTGGAAGACCTGGTCAGCTGTGATCCAGAAAGAAACACGTCTGATACAACATACGTCGAAGTATGCTTTTTTTCGTATCGAAGATCATTGTTAGGCGTTTTTAAGGGTTGGAATGTGGACTGATATTCCTAATTCATATTACAGCAATATCAGGTAATTGAAAATCCTTTTCTCACATTTTTACGTCAACAGGAATGAGAACCAGGGAACTAAAATTTTCCGGGGATCATCAATATATCTTAACAGATTTAATAGAACTAGAGCAGGTTCCTGTTATATCATATCTCCCCTCCTATTCAGATAAACATGCGTTTGAGTAAATATAGGATTGAAGTTTCCAATAATAATTTGAATCTACTACAGATCAATTATATTTCGCTGTGGTTTGTGTGAGGTGTTGTAAGTTAGAAACTCGCAATTAAAGAAAACAATATCTACGCTCAACAGGCCTTACCGCTTTGACTGATCTTTGTTTTTCCATGGAGCACTGTTTATATTCACTGAGGCGAGAAACCCCTAAATCCATGTCTTATAAACTGCCAAACACGAACTCAGGTATAGATCATCACCGCACGCCACATTAGTATTCTTGTTACTGACAAACGTAGATATACTGAAGGTGACAAGTTCATATTAAATAATCTCAGAAAATGTTCACCATTATTATTTACGAACAACCTATTTATGCGAAAATATTGTGACAGTACGTAATATTTTCACTCACGTCTTCAGGATATTCACTGTATTGTAACAGGCTTGCTATATGATGTAGAATATTGTATGGTCCGTTCTGAAGGTTGTGTGTGTGAAAATCCCTCCGACCGAAAAAAATTTACACAAGCCTTGTGACCTCAGTATGCTTTGTAGTTGGTGAGACATTATTTAGATCTCCTTTTAGTTGCATCGAAGTCGTTTCATGTCACACTTATAGTGGGTCCAAGTGAGTAATGTGTATTGACCTACTTTTATGAAGAGAACACTATTGGTATAATGTAAACAATTATTATTATAACCAATTGTACCAGTGATTGTTTAAGTGTATCAAAACAGACCCATTCTCCCGTTGTCTGTGACCTTGCACGAACTCGTATACGCTCGGTAGTTCTGCTTGTGAACGTTGTCTGTGCATATATTTCGTGTAATCAAGTGGACGGTTCGTGACGTGAATCAGTGTCTGGCACATTCGCTACTTGGTTGTCTTCATCGGTCGATGGAGTTGAGTAGACTGACAAGAGAACCGTTGTGGCGGAACGACTAGAATGAGTTGATCTCGGTTACATGCATGTGTGCATATTGTGCAGATTGACTGTGAGAAGTTCACCTCCAGGATGAAAATGGAAACAATGATGTCATGAGCTTGAGATAGACGATTGATAGAGTTGGTTTGTTAGCGTGTAGGTTTGTCGTGACAGTGACACTGTCATTGATAGTTGTGATGTTGTTTGGTGAACTTTGTCAAATATATCTTATTGCAACCGTCGACTGTCTTCTGGTTTTTGGCCCTACGGAAGGATCCAACCTTATACCTGGAACGTAATCTTCCTGATTTGGTGATCAAAGTCAATCGCGACTCAGCGCCTACTACAAATGCAGAAGCAGGATTCAGATGAACAGCTAACCTAAATTTGGCAAAAGAGTGTGATGAACCAAAAAGTATGATAACCAAAAAAAACAGCAAAAATATTACGTCTAAAGTTTATGTATCAATTAACAGTTAATAAGTTAATTACACACAGATAAAAATAAGGGACGTTACTTAATTCTTCAGGTTGTAGCTGTAAATAATTCCCCAAAATCAATAGTTCATTAAGTGTTCGACATTGGATGCTGACCACGTTGTTTAAGTGGACTTGTTTAGCTGAAGGCTTTTGGTCATGCAACCGTACCAGATCACGTTTCAACTCGGCGTGGGACACAGCTCCTACGTTCCATTAGCCAGCTTATAGAAAAGGTCCTCGATATATTGGTAACGAATCAAATATATCTTTCCTGCCTCTTCTCATCTGACTTCTGATTTCTATCTGACTGGGAACGATCGAACATAGAAGGTGCTACTGGTAACTAGTTGTAAAATTAGAACAACCGTTGCATCCTCATTGGTAAACCCGACGTGATCTGGTACACCAAGTCAATATACTGTGAGTCTGTTCCATTTTGGAATATTATTATTCATTGTTATTCTTTATTTGAATTTTATATATTGTGATATACTTTTTTCGCGAATTTTTTTTCTCGGATATATTTTACTTAGACATTTTTCGATATCTATATTACTATGACGGAACACTCTCCTAAGGTTCTTAAGTTTAAGTCTATTCCCCCTATTTCGATTCAGTTAACGCCATTTTGGCCCGACAATATCGAGTCCTGGTTCTGCTATGCAGAAGCCGATTTTTGCATGCACGGAATCACGGACTCGCGCACACGTTTCCTCGCGGTAGTTAAGGCGTTACCGCGCGAGTTTAACAGGTACGTAACACCTAGTATGTTTACTAGTGATGTTCCTGAACCTTACGAAACGCTTAAGCTAACGATTTTAAAACGAGGAGACCTAACTGATCGACAACGGTTAGACCAACTCCTTAACAATATCGACTTGCAACATGGTTCTGCGACGGATATGTTGCTTAGAATGAGAGAAGTCATCGGCCAACGAACTTTCGATGATGGCCTATTTAGACAACTTTTCTTGTCTAAACTCCCTCAACAGGTGCAGGCAGTGCTTGTTTCATTTCAAAACAATGCCATAGATGAACTAGCTGCATCTGCCGATCGAATCTTGGAAATCACTAGATCTTCTAAGGCCGAGGTTTTTTCCGTCAAAGAAAAACCCCAATCGACCTCGACTGACATGGCCGAACTATGTCACACGCTTACACGATATCTTAGAGTTCGCAATGACCGTAGTCGGTCAAAAACCCCGCGTAGAAGCGTTTCACGTAAGCGATCTGGCTCTCAACCACGAGAGACAGACAATCATGACTGGTGCTGGTATCATAACCAGTACGGTAAGTTTTCCAGAAATTGCAGGAAACCTTGGAATTATCCGACCCCAAAATCGAGTGACACGAATAAGATTTCGGGAAACTTCCCAGCCGGCACGCGTTAACGGCAACCGTAGCCGGCGAACACAGCCGCCTCTTATGTGTCACGGATGTGACTACGAAAGTTCGCTACCTCGTCGACACTGGCGCAGAAGTTAGCGTTCTTCCAGCAAATCTCGACGACAGACTTCGCGAGTCTGTTTTAAGTTTACAGGCGGCAAACGGAAAACCGATCGCTACTTACGGTAAAAGGTACGTCTACCTTAACGTGGGTTTACGTAAACCCATACACTGGATTTTCGTGGTTGCAGATGTCTCTATGCCAATCATTGGTATTGACCTGTTACAACACCACAATCTACTCATCGACACACGCGCACGAAGGTTAATAGACGGAAACACTAAGTTATCCGTTTGCGTAACTCCTTGTTCCGGTTGCAGGTTATCCTCAGTCACGATTAAGCATACCATAGACCCATTGTACCAATCAGTACTCGATAAATACCCCGGGATATACCAATCGCAATCGAAATTGCCTTGTGTAACCAGCAATGTTACACATCACATCTCGACTACAGGACCACCTGTATTTTCGAAAGCTCGAAGACTCGCTCCCGAGAAGCTTAGGTTAGCTAAAAACGAATTCGACCACATGATGGACCTAGGGATAATTCGACCATCGAATAGTCCATGGGCATCCCCATTGCACATGGTCCCTAAAAAGGACAGTAATGATTGGCGGCCAACTGGTGATTATCGGCGTCTGAATGCGAAATCCATTCCCGATCGTTACCCGCTGCCTCATATTCACGATTTGACAGCTACCTTGAAAGGTACAACTGTCTTTTCGAAAATCGACTTGGTTAAAGCTTATAACCAAATCCCGATGGCACCTGACGACATTCCTAAAACCGCCATCATCACTCCCTTCGGTCTTTATGAATTTCTACGAATGCCTTTTGGTTTAAGAAATGCGGCTCAAACCTTCCAAAGGTTTATAGACGACGTCTTCCGAGGTCTCAACTTCGTACATGCGTATGTTGATGACTGTCTAAT